ATGCATCTGAGATCTGGACAATGAATAAAGATGACAGAAAAAGAATTGATGCCTTGGAGCTGTGGTGTTGAGAAGAGTACTGAACATCCCATGGACAGCCAAGAGAACAAATATGTATGTCTTGGAGAGAGTGCAGCCAGAGTGTTCTTTGGAGACAAGAATGATGAGGCTGCCTCACTTACTTTGGACATATTGCTAGAAGGTGCTATTCCTTGGAGAGGGACATGATGTTAGGAAGGGTGGAGGGTTGGCAAAGGAGAGGAAGACCTTCAACCAAGTGGATTCACATGGTGACTGCTAGAGTGGACTCTTGTGTGTCAAGAAGTATGATGATGGCATAGGACAGAACTAGGTTCAGATCTTTTGTTCATAGGGTCGCTATGAGTCATGCTCAACTTGATGGCACCTAACAACAACAGCAACATGCAGTCAGAAAGAATCTTTCTGGTGTTCTCTGCTTTCAATCAGTATATTCACACAATGGAATACTACACTGCATTGAAAAACAAGGAACTCATGCAAAATTATTAAAAATGGGTGACCCTGGAGGACATTATGCTGAGTGAAATATCTCAGTGACAGAGGGACAAATACTGCATAGTGCCACTGTTGTAAAACAGGACTGACATTGGGGTTGGGGGGAGACTGAGAAAGATGGGATAAATAACGTATACTGTATTGAGACAAATGAGGGAGTAAACTGTTTCAAAGGGATATGTGATTAGGTATTATTGTTATTATTGTCAAGACAGGAGTCCAGAATGAAGCTGCATAGTGGAATGGACCTGGGGGGAGGGATTGTAAAACAATGGAGAACTTTTCTTTTACTTTTCAAAGAGAAGATAGTACTGGGTCGGGGAGTGGTTGGCAGGGAGAAAGGTGCAACAATGAATGAATGGAAATCCAAAGTCTCAGTAAATTTTCATGAAAATTAACAAAAAAATATGATGAGAGAGAGAGAGAAATGCCCAACCGAGTTTGTTCCTTTTCATTTTAGGGCTCCGGCTCTTTGTACATTTCATTATAATACTTTTCTTTGTCTTCCCATGCTGCCCTTTGAAACCTTCTGAAATCTCCTTAATTTGCTGATTTCTTCCCTTCGCTTTGGCTTCTCCACTCTATAGTACAATATTCCGAGTTTCTTGTGACAATCATCTTGGTCTTTCTTGCTCCTGTTTTTAATAATCTTTTGCATTCTTCATGGATGATGTTCTTGATATCCTCCCACAGCTCATATGGTTTTCATTCATTACTGTTCAGTGTTTTAAACTGATTCGAGAGATGGTTTTGAAATTCAGGTGGGATAGATTCAAGGTCAAATTTGGGTTCTTGTAATTTTTACTTAAATTTTGTTATAGCTTTAGTTTGAACTTTTATTTGAGTAGTTCTGTAGTAGTATGTTCCACAATCAGCACCTTGCCTACTTTTCACAGCTGATATTCTTCAATGATTCTTTCCATAAATGTAATAGATCTGATTCTTGTACATACCATCAGGTGAAATTCATTAATAAAGTCGTTGTTTATGTTTCTTATAAAAAGTATTTGCAATAAATCATTGATTGTATAAAAAAAAACCTACACAGCATGTCATAGTCATTCCTTTCCGTGTGATTTGATATCGCACATTCTTGCAGGTTCCTTTACTCACATTCCTGCGCAGTAAGTGAACAAAAACCTCTGTTAGCCTCTCTCGTTCGCTTGCACACGCGCTTCTCTGGCCGCTCCAGCTCGGTTATCTGCCCCACCCTGGAGCTCACACTGGGACACAAAGCCCCGCCCTCTTCCCCGCCCCCGCCTGACGAGAAGTCCCGCCCCCAAACCGAAGCCCCACCTCCGAAACAGCTCTCCGGCAAAACCCCACTCATCTCCCCGCCCTCCTAAGCGGAGTCTCGCCCCTGGACCCGCCCTCCAGGCCCACCAATACAGTCACAGCTGCCAGGCCGCCCTGCCTGGGCCGCTGCGCTGCCATGGCTGGGGGCCGTGGTGCCCCCGCACGCGGCCGTGACGAGCCGCCAGAGAGCTACCCGCAGCGGCAGGACCATGAGCTACAGGCACTGGAGGCCATCTACGGCGCTGACTTCAAGGACCTGCGGCCGAACGCGTGCGGACGGGTAGGAACGTGCCTAGTATGTCCCTGCTGGCTCGCTCTGGCCCGGCCTCTCCAGGCTCAGGGCCCGAAGCGAGAAGCTTCCTGATTGGGCTGACCCTTTAGTAAGCCTCTGCGCTTACTATTTGTTCTTGCCCCACAGCCACCCGGTCATTTCCCCGGAACTGCCACCTGGGCGGAATTACGTCCTTGCCCTCAAATAAGCTATCTTACCTGATACTGCTTCTTATTCCCACTGATACTTACCCCATAGCGTTCCTGCTACCTTCAAGGCTTCCTTTGATTTTTTTCTTGAAAGCCTTTGAGGATGATACACCACCACCACATCCAAATTAGAACCATGCAACTTTGTTCTGGAAATGCATTGGTGGCGCTTGCGCAGAACATACTGATACCCTCAATCAGGACCTACTTGGAGCTTCTCTCTCCTGTGTAAGAAACTATGGACCACATAACCTCATTCCTCCTCCCCACGCAGCTTCACTGTGTTTACCAATGGGGGAACTTTCCCTCTCTACCTCTCAGACATTTAGCTGAAGGTAGAGAATACATTGATCCTCCCCCTGAATGGAGAAGGGAGTGTGCTAAATCTGCCTATTTCTAAATGAGGTTTGCATATATAAATGCCTTTCTGTCTGGAAGTAAGTTAAGTCATTATAAACTGCTGGTAGTGGCAGAGTTTTCCCCTCCCTGGTTTTTGGAGCGTTTATCTACCAAACCGTTTTGTCTGTAAATGCTATAATTTTACGAGTCCCTTCATTTGCCTTTAAGTTTGTGATCCCACTGCGTCTGTGTCATCTATACATACAGAATTTTCGCCCAAATTCTATATCCTGGACTTGGTAGGGCAGAACATTCTTAACCTCACCCCTAGTGTGGCCTCTTTCATTTATTAAATATTTATTGTTCTGGGCATGAGAAGACAGTAGCAATGAAAATAAAAACTTCTGTCTTTAGGAAGTTTATTTTCTAGTACTTGATTTCAGTAGTTATTTTAACCTGAAATTACAAAATAATACAAATGCTCCCCTTGTATAATGAAATAACACACATTTATAAATTCCAGACATTACAGAGAATGGGGTGGTAGGCCCTCTAAAGCAGCCATTTAGCATCAGTGTAACAAAATATACCCATACTAAATGCAAAGCACGGAAGACTTTGATCAGAGCCTATATCTTTTATTAATTATCTCAGATCTGTCATTCATAGTGTTTATTAATTACCTCAGATCTGTCATTCATAGTGTTTCTTTGAGTTGTAGTCAATTCTGTGGCACCTAACCACAGTTAATTGTCTAGTTCTACTACTACTGGAAAGGGATTTCTGGTGGATTGTTGTTGTTGTTGTGTACCACTGAGTCTGAAAAGACTCATAGCTACAGCCAGTTTTCAGAGGCAGTAAATCACAGAGGAGGAGGTTGCCCATCTTACACCCATGGAGCCACTGGCGGATTGGAACTTCGTGTTTTCTGGTTGGCAGCTCAGCTCCTTACCACTAGTTTATCAGATATTTCTCTTGTGGGTTAGTAATAAGGAATTGTGCTGCCAACCCAAAGGTAAGCAGTTAGAACCAACCAGCTGCTCCTCAGGAGAAAGATGGGAAATCTCCCATGCCATTTACTGCTTCTGAAAAGCTGTTGGAGGGTCAGCTATGAAAAACAAGCAACAAGTCTACAGGAAAAGGGAGTTCTGGTGGTTTAGTCCATAGAGAATTGTGCTGCTAAGCCACAGGCAGCACCCATCTGGCAGTTGAGTCCACCAACATCTTTGGGAGAGAGAGATGGGCAGTCTCCTCTCATGTGATTTACAGCCTCACAAAACACACTGGAGGATCAGCTTTGAGGCTGTTCTAACTCACACCAATGTGTTTAAGTTTCATTTTTTGATGACTGCTGGAAAATGGAAGGGTTAAAGGAGCAACTAAGGACCTTGAGACTTTACAGCTGGTAATGTTTATAAAAGATGGAAGATCTTCACCCCTCATTCTCTAAAAAATGAAACAACTATGCAAGGCAGGAAAGTTCAATAAACTGTCTGTGACTAGTGGTGCACGGGGCAAATGACTCTACACACTTTAAATTAGGCCCTACAGGCAAATAACTGATAGAAGTTTGAGTCTGAGTTTAGTTATTCAACAAGTACTTCTTACCTATCGCCTAACATTTCCAGTCTTTAGGAAAGAGTTATGAATCTACAGTCTCATGCCCAAAACCTTAGATGACTGATGGCACACATTTACGTGTACATATATCAGATGTCACCAAACTCCTTCTTTGTCTGCAGCAGCATCCTTAATCAAACACAAGGAAACTCATGAATTATCAATACATGCCAAGAAATCT